GGGAGTCAGTTGAATCGTCGGACGTTCTTTGATTAGCTGCAAAAGGCGGCGGCTAGCTGGGCACACGCGTCTCCTTCTGAGTCTCCGAGACCATGTCGCCACCAAAAAAGAAAAGGTCACATTAGAAGTTATTTCGCTACGTCGGCTGTAAGTACAGTGGACCCATAAGTTAGATATCTATCACGCAACGCATTTGTTGTAAAGTCCGGTGTTTAGTAAGGTCAGCAGCACTGAATGTGAGGTAGAATAGGTCTGTTAATTATGTAATATTTTTTCACATAGGATGCTCAGACAGCAGAGCAAGGGGCAGAGCAGAACGATGGAGAGGTGGCTAGAGGTTCAGGGCTCCAGGTGTGGGGTTAGTTCTCAGATATGAAATATACTGTGAAATTATCTCAGTATGACTGTATCTGGTTGTATACACAAGATGTATGATATGGTTATGGTTGGGGGGAGGGGTTATTAAGCCAATGTGGTTGTCCCCCCCCCCCTTCTCCAAAATGTTCGGTGCTCTTGGGCATTTCACTGTGCTGCGGGGCGGGGGGGAGGTCAAGGTCCCCACCAAAACTTAGACCGAACCTACGCCCTTGGATCTAAATATGAGGCCTGGAAATGGCCGAGGGGAATTCACATAATCTTGGACCTTTAAGGACCTGGCGGAGCTGGAGACTTCACGAGTGAGAACCTGTGAGCTCACCGACTTAAAAGTAAAATGGAGCATGGCGTGAAAGAGGCATAGATGCGGGAGCTGCGTTGTCTCTTTGAGCATTCAAAACTAATTGATTACTAAAATCAGATGGTGAACAAACAGCTGCTGAGGCAGCTGTTTGTTCAACTATACTAGGATAGAGAATGTCACTGTTGCTAAGGGCGACAAATCCACCACCACATCAGAACCGGAAGACCAGAGTGGACCAGAAGGTTGATAGGACAACAGATCTTTAATGGGTTGAGGTGCTCGACCGTTCAGAGATTTACGGTCGGTTCTCTAAACTGTGATGGCCGATGAGAGGACTTTAGAACTGGGGTGATGAGCCACATCTCCCTGGTTTTTATTAAGACGCTGCTGCAGTCATCAATGCGACTAAAAATTAATGCGTGGATAAGTTTATTTTTTCCTGAAGTGTTTTCATTTTGTAATGAGGGTGATGAGGCGAAGCTAGGAT